AACTTTTTTTTTTTTATGTGGGGGGTGCACACCCGAGTGTGGGATCCGGGTGTGCACCAATCATGGTCCTAAAATTATTGATTGTAAAGGCACGTTTGTGTCATTTGACTGCTTAGCTAGGTTTTATGGTCTTAATTGTAAAAATTGTACTTTTTAATCATGATTTTAACTATATAGTATTAGAGTTATATTCTCATAAGGGTGTCAATAAAAATGATTTAAATAAAGTGCTTTGTCAACATAGATTATTATTTAAAAATTTTATACTTTTAATTTTAAATTAACAAGAAATCAATTGGTGTTAGGCAGAACTTGAATATATTCAACAATTTTAATTGTTCTGTTTTCTTGTGCTCTAAGTCCTTATTATCTTCTTTAGTTAATATAACAAAGCCTCGATCTTTAATTACTCAAATGATCAAAAAAATATTTTAATGAAATACAATTTATTTAGAAAGGCATTTAGAAAATGAGTATAGTCACAAATAAGTGGTGTTAAATGATATCAGCAAAAGTTTAGAAATTTCTAAATAGATACTTTAATCATTAATAAAGAATTTTCATTCTTGATTTTGGATTTGAGGGAACATTTTTCTCATATATTTATCCTCTTCATCCAAATATTGACTCAAATTAAAGGACTTTATTTTCATGAGAAGGAATTTAATCATTATTAAATCACTAAAATAGCAAAAAAAATATTTTTTCTTGTTGATTAATGCCAACAACTAAAAAATTCTACTAGCGACTTTTTGATTCGAGTGGAAAAAATTTGATTCTCTTTAAGTAAACTTTTGAGTTCAAGTCTTATAAATGAAAAAATAAGTGTGAAGAAAGTTTTTCCTTATGGAATTCGACGTTATTCAGTTTTGGATTAGTCGAAATCCAATGTGATTATTGGATACTGAAAGATTAATACAAAAAACAACTAAAAAATTCTTATACTTCTTATAGTACATGCTAATAATATAATAAATATATTTTTGTAATCTTAAATTTATATTAAAAACATTTAACTTTTAATTTAACAAATATTTAATTAAACTCATTTACTT